GCATTATTAGGCTAGAAATTCTCTGGATTATCTCAAAATGGAAGTTTCTGTTAAATTTTACAGTTGAAAAGCCGTAGGAACTAATTTGTTTGATGATCTTTATGTATGTCACGACATTTCTTTTCTTAATGTAAGTTTCTTATCTGAACCTAATTAAAAGTAGCTAGCTGGTCTCATTCTCATCCTCAAGGCTTATATATCGTGAGCTATGATTTAGTTTTTTTCCTTTTCATGTGAAATAAGGACAAACATAGTGGATTTGCAAAGGAAACCCTGCGTGAGCCTGAAAGCTACTTCAGGAAAGGAAAAAAGAGCTTTGCAAGTGTGTGCAAAGTGAATTGTAGTGGATGTACGTCACCCTAGCCTGAAACCTGCAAATAGAAATTGGAACATTATTTCAAAGAAGACCCGAGAAGTTACATAATTGAAGCCTATGAAGAACTGTTATGATCTTGGAAGAGACATGTTCGGGATTGATCTGGCATAAAGATGAACTTTAACAAAAATCCCATCACAGAATTCATTTGAAGATGAACAGCAACTTTCCGCCATGATTTTTTTACTAGAATTATACATGTCTTTTTCTTACACAATTGAGACATATCTCGACTTGTTCTAATGGGTATATTCTAGCTTCCTTAGGCAAAAATAAAATATATTAATTGATATTTGCCAATGATTACAAAAATAGGGATATGGTTAGCATACATAGCAAACAGATACCACCATTTGAAAATCTCTCTTGTTTCAGTGAAGAATGGAAAGGAGCATGGAATATCGTTTGTTGTTTCCACAGCTCCTGTTTAATTCTCACAATGTTTTTTTGAGAAAACCTATAAATTTGGGTCGGAGAGAGAAACAAAAGAAAACAAGAGGTTTTGGGAGTTGAATGTGAGAAAATAGAGATAAAAGGTACTTCTGAGGTGAAGCCAAGTTCATACCTTTTTACCCCTCTTAATGCATGACCCTACCACTATTCCAAAACTCAGAAGTTGCAGAGAGGGTCAAGAGTTATAGTTTTATACTCTAACAAGTCCCTGCAGGTTGAGATGCCTTTCATGGGCCGAAAGCTGGATTTGCTGAGCGGTATTATTTTCTAAGTCCACTTTAGAAATTTGTGGTCAGTAGGATGCGAATTGTGTTTGCTTTGACACCATCTTAAAGCCCCTGCAACTACACTAGAGCTTTGAAACTGTGGTAAAGGTTGAGGGTATAGTTTTATACTCTAACAAACCCTGACCTAGAATTCTACGCCAAATGCAGAAGTCTGACCAGACGTCACAAATGCAAAACTCCGTTATAAAGCTCACGTTCCTTTGTGATTGTAGATGAGGATTCTTTTTGTCGAAACCTATTACATGAAGGGTTATCAAAAATATTGTCTAAATGAACGAGGTTTCTTGTAATTTGACCTTTAAATATTGCAAAAATGATCATACCCATACATCACGCTAACAATCTTATCATGTACCCTCCTTAAAAACCCTTGCCAACACCCATCATAATCCAAAACTTATCAATCAATCTCAGTTGCTGCTATGGCTCAAGAAGGCTCAGAACCCTCAGGTTCAGACCCTCATCCTATGCAGAGTTGGTGGGGGTCTTATACAAACCCTATCTCATGCTGTACTCACTTGAACTCTTCTCGTGAGGATCAAGACGTGTCTAGTATCTCTGATACTTCATTCATCAGTACAGAGCCAGCAGAGAATCACTTATTTAGTCAAGTTCTTTTGTGAGTATACATGCATGATAATTAAGAGCTCCTAGCTATATTATAGTGCGGGGAGAAAAGCAAAAAGGTTGAGATTCTTAATTGCATGGTTGGTCCTTTGAGTTGTTATATTATAAAAGTGATCATATTTAGTTTTTGAGCTTTTCCTTTCTTCTCTATATATTGCTATTATGATCACTGCATCTCGTAAATCATATAAGGATTAGCGTTTATTATGATATACATTGTAAGTTAACAGATCATTAATTTTTGGATAAGATGGTATAATAGTATTTCATATTTCTTATCTTCGTACAACTTGAGGTTAATTACTTTTAAGTGAAATAATTGTTGACAAATATTTTCTCAACTGTTACCCATTATCAGGACCCCAGCTCGAGTTAGTTCGTTCTCTTAGTCCAAATAATCCTATTCTTCAATTGCATACGGTGCAATTTCTCCACCACACTTAACACAATATCCAACATAAAGAACTAAAGGATGCTTCACCAAAATTGCAACTTTTTTCAGACGTGCTGGAGGTGGAGGAGAATTGCACAACAACAACAACAACAAGATGTTGATCAACCCGGCATTTGATTACTTGAAGAAACCAGATAGCAGTTGGGAGTTCACAAATCATACTGATCATCTCAACGTCTTCAATTATCAAACCATGATTGGGCCAGAACGATACACCAACTCATCTGATTCCAATAACATTTGGTCCGTTGTACCACCAAGCACAACAAACAACGTTCCTCTTAATAATCCTTCCATGACTCAGTACTCAGATTCACCATCATATTTGCCTACGTATATTCATGGTATACGGAGTCAGACAAGCGTTAACAACTCATCGATAGGGCTCAGCAACAAGTTATGTGCGATGAGTTTATCAGGCTTGACCTCCTTCAGTAGCAAGAAGCAGGAATATGAGACTTCATCATCGGTGAGAGAAACTACTTTGATCTCTTTCTTCACTCAAGTTTTGTTGATCCAATTTTGTTGGTTAAGTCAATAAGATTGATGCCATTATGGCTGTTTTCAGGGGAAAAAGAAAATATCTGAAGATAGATCTGTGGCAATATTCAAGAAATCCAATCGTGATTGCTCGAAAGCCTCTACTGCCATGGTACCAACAATGCTTCAAATATATCAAAAACATCGACCAAAAAAAATCTATTTTTTCTCCTGAAGAACATATTATTTCCTTATTATTACGCTCTATCGAAGAAGTTAATTACGACACAATTTTTAATTCTTCAGTGTCCTTCTTAATAACCCTGCAATAGCTCAGTTCTCACTTCACCCTCGTATTTGCCTTTGTTTATTCATGGTATACAGAGTCAAATAGGCCTGGAAAACTTGATGGTAGGGCTCGATGACAAATTATTTGCAATGACTTTATCAGACTTGACCTCCTTCAGTAGCAAGAAGCAGGAATATAAAACTTCATCATCGGTGAGATACACACTAATTTGTTCTCTTTCTTTGCTTGAGCTTTCCTGATCCAATTTCTTTCATTTGAATCAATAAGATGTGATTATGGCTCCCTTCAGGGGAAAAAGAGAAGATCTGAAGATAGTTCTATGGCACTAGTCAAGAAGTCCAAGCATGAGAGCTCAAAAGCATCTTTTGTCAAGGTACTGTGATGCTTCGAGAATATCAGAAATATCATTTTTTTATGATAAACATATTGTTCATTGAGTATCTGTCAAAAAATTAATTATGACACAATTGATACTTCCTCGCAGCTACCTAGAGAGAAAATAATTTCTCTCCAGCACATTGTGTCACCATTTGGGAAGGTAAACATTCTTTAAGAACTAGCACAAGTGTTAATTTCCTCCAAAAATCAGAATGTTTATTTTTGTTTTTACTAATATAATTAGTATCTGGCGTCAGACTGATACTGCAACAGTACTACAAGATACAATCAAATATATTAGTTTCTTACAGGATCAAGTACAGGTAAACTCTGAACTTTGATGTTTCAATTTCAACAACAAAAATTTGACTACACTGTTTTTTTGTTAATTGGAGAAAATTATATATCTGCAGTTGCTCAGTGATCCATATGTGAAATCAAGCACAATTAAGGTACGAACTTCATCTCTGTTGTAATGACCTCAACAATGTAAAGACTGTTTGGTATCAAGAAATTTATATTAGACAACTTAAATTACAGTTACAGCTATTAGTTTTGTTTTTTGTAGTTCACTTAAACTTCAATAATGAAAAGTATATCATTTATTTGTAGTTTATGTAACTGTACATGCAGGTCGAGTATCACCCCTATTTCATCTCTTAAACCGTTGACCATTTTACTAAATGAGTTGTCGTCTCATACCTATTCTTTCCAAAAAAAAATTATAATTACAATGAAACAGACAACTACATCTGTAACTATAACCTTTTTTTTATATATAATTTACCATTTACAGGACATCAACTCATGCGGTGGCTTAGAGAGGACGGATAATGCGGCGAAAGAGCTTGGCTTGAGGAGTAGAGGACTTTGCCTTGCGCCTATATCTTGCATCCCAGAAGTTTATCGCTAGAGAACTCGAGACCTGGCCATTTCTCGATGCCGAAGTACAGATGACTCCTCCATCGATGAAGGAGATCAACAATGCTTTGACAAAAGGTGAAGTCTGCATCTTGTAGTGAAGTAAGTGATGAGACGGAGGACCCATTTTATCTTTGTATTAAGCAGGTAAATATCACTACTGTCGTCACTTCCCTAATAACGTTTGTATTAAGCAGTACCGAATGTATAATGTAATCTACATTTGTATTAATTAAGCAGGTAAACATCACTACTGTTGTCACTTCCCTAATAACGTTTGAGGTAATTTTGCCCGGTAGAGCCCATGGTCGTTTCTTATAAAAGACTCAAGTCCATAAGCTGCCTAGGCGCAATCGAATTTTATGTAGTGGGCCAAAATCAGGCCCCAATTACTTCAGGCCTAGCCCTTAAAACACACATTAGGCATATTTTTATAACACTTTTTTGTTTAAACCCACATGTCATTTAAGTTCTTTTAAACACAGTCCGAGCAAAGTGAAAATTTGTTGAAGTTATGCTGTTGGCTCCTAATTTTGTTTACAATTTAACTTAATGTTATTAGTTAGAATATGCTATCTCGATTACATTAGAAAGGCAGAGGAGAGAAGACAGCAGAGATCGGAAGACGCCTACTGCCGAAAAAAAAACAGAGTAAAAGATAGCAGGAATCAAACTTGGTGTAGGTATGCTATAACAAAGTGCTAAATTAAATTACCGGTATTCGTTGAGATTTATTCAATGGGTTGTCGCTACAGTCACACCCCCAATCACACACTTAACCACACTCCTCTCTCGCTGCAGTGCACCGGGGCCCACATGAGAATTTTTTTAAAATTCTCATGTAGGCCCCGGTGCACTATAGCGAGAGAGAAGTGTGGTTGAGAGATGTGCCTCTAGCATTTTCCTTATTCAATACCATATTGAGAGAATTTCAATGTAATTTAAAAGTTTAAAGTATTTGAAGGTGTAAATTCAAATAAGAAAAATTCTAAATCCTAATATTATTATATGATTTTTTATATTAGTCCCTTACATCTTTCACATATTGAAATTGCTACCCGGTCCCCAAATTCCCATGATAGTTGCGGGACCTAATAGCAATTTCAGTGAATTGGGGTCTTGTTTCAAAATAGTAGGATGTAAGGAGCTAACATGGAAAAAAAAACAATAAAGAAAGAAACACTCCCAACAACCGGCGATCTTCAGTCTACTCTCGAGCGCCCTTCTCTCTCCAACCGCCAAAAGCAGGAGGGGGAAGAGAAAAAAAAAACCCAAACCTTTTTTCCTCTCTTAAACCCTAACCAATTTCTAGGGTTTCGAATCTCAATCCCGAGACCCTAACCCTAACCCTAACCATGAGGCGCGTCATCGAAGAGATCTCTGACGACGACGATTGGGGCAACTTCAAACCCTCTCGAATCCTCAAGAAGCCCAAACCCTCGACCCCTCCCTCCATCGAATCCTTCGCCTACGGCCGAAACCAAAAGGATTGTAGAGCGATTTGTTGATATACATGGGGCAGGATCAATATAACGTTGTTCTAATCTTTGATAGCGGGAGTGCTGTCTGCAGGAGGTTTTTGGAGATCCCGGCCGCGACGAGAGCCTTTGTATTTGAGCTGCTGGGCTTTAAGCATGATGTTGAGTTGGAAGACGACGTCGACGAGCAGCAGCGATCGCTGCCGCCACGTAGGACAAGGGGCCGGCGCATTGTCATCGAAGAGGACAGTGATTTTGAAAACGACGCGTTTGGGATCGAGGAGGATGATGATGAGGAAGAGGAGTTTGGGATTGAAGAGAGGAGGGGAAATGGGGGAGGAGAGGAGATGGATGTTGTTGGGAAAGCGTTGAGGAAGTGCGCGAGGATTTCGGCGGAACTGAGGAAGGAATTGTACGGATCGTCTTCGGCGACGACGGAGAGGTACGCGGAGGTGGAGGCTTCTTCGGCGGC